ACAAAAAATAAGATACCGCGAAGCTTTGTTGTTGAAGGAGATTTTCTCACAATAGTGAAAAAATATATGAACCAGCGGTCCCAAAAAGGAAAATCCGACCGTTTTTTTCAAAATTTCCAAAAAGGGAAGTGTACAGCTCAAGTAATCGGCATAAACAAATTTGGTAATATGCCAAAAGAAATAGCTACGTTTCTTGGTCTGCCGGATGCTTAGTGTTATACTGGGCACAGCTTCAGAAGGACCTCTGCTACATTATTGGCAGATTCAGGAGCCAATTTGACGTCCTTAAAGCGACTAGGTGGTTGGAAATCGGACAAAGTTGCAGAAAGCTATATTGGTGATTCATTAAACAACAAACTAGAAACTGGGAAAAAGATCACACAATTCATTAATTTAAGGTCCAGTCCGTCTCCTTCACATGCTGAAGAGAACGTTCGTCCATCTACGAGTACCTTCGTTGATAATGATAATTCATCAGATCCAATTCCATCAACTAGCAAACGCCATTGTATGACAAATATACATGAACAATCATACGAAATTAATAATAGTTTGTCTCAAACAGTAAATATGCAACGTAAAACTTCCCCAGTTAGTATAAAAAACTGTACCAATTTCAATGTATATGTGAATTATAACTTTTATAAGAAATAAATGATTAGTTAATTGAGTTTATTGTGTTTTTATAATTTGATTAAATTGCTTCATTTTTTCGCAACTGTATTAAAAATAGTCGTTCAGTACACGTACGGAACCGTCATTGCAACTCGTTCCGACTGTCGACCCTCGCCTTCGGCTCGGGTAGACATTTGTCGGAACTCTTTGCAATGACAACCATTCCGTACTAGTAATGAAATATACTATTATATATATATGAGACTGACCACTTGTAATTATTTTGAAAACTTCGATAATGTAAAAGTAAAAATACCACTGTTCGATTTTCAAATTTCCCTCCGCATTTTTTCGAGAGTCTATTAATTTTTCTTGTCTCATTAAAAAATGGATCTGCATCGAGAACATTTTCGTGCTATGATTTTTACAATTTTAAATATGACTTAAATCCGCTGGTGTAGCGAGTCCAAACGCGGTCGTCTTACTTTGGGGGATGAACAAAGGAGTGGTCGTCCTACGACGGCTGTCACCGAAGAAATTGTGCAGCAGGCTCGTGTGGATTGGTGCAGTGATATGATACAAAAATTTTATGCAGGCTCGAGACGGTGCGTTTACAATATTGTGACAGGTGCCGAATCCTGGATTTATCAATACGATCCAGAAACAAAGCACGAGTCGACAGTTTGGCTGTTTCAAAATGAACCAAGGCCTATGAAAGTGAAGCGATCGAAGAGCGCAGGGAATATTTGATCGCTAGTTTCTTCACTTTGACGGGGTACCTAATTTCATTTCCACTTTGAGACTAAACCAGCATCAACGCCGAATGGTATAGCATAAAATGCCAGCCAGAAGTTTTTTCTGCAAATAGCAACAAGCGACCTAACACCGGGCTCCACGGGGTCCTTCGTCACCACGACAACGCGCCCGCGTACTCTGCGATCAAAACGAAGGACATCCTGGACTCCACACCAGTCAGAGTCTTAGGTCTTACAGTCCTGATCTGGTTCCGTGAGACTTCTTTTTAATCCCTAAAATGAAAAATCAGTTGAATGGGATACAGTTTTCATCGTCGGAAGAAGCGCTAGCAGCGTTTGAGAAGGCCGTGGAAGAGGTCTGCGGTGGACTGGAAAAAGTGTTAAATTTTTGTTATGTTCTTATGATAACCATATTTTAGACTAGCCATGCCCCGCGGTTTCACCCGCGTTTACAATCATCAACAAATATATTTCGAAAAAGATTATTACAGGATTTGATGTTGATAAAAAACTCTATGGCCCATAACTCATTAATAGGTACCAACTCTTAACATCTTACACACGTGATAACTTTTAAACGAAATATAGAAACCGATTGAGATGAAACAAAAAGTATTTTACTTCTACACAAATACTCTTGATAACATAATGCTTAATTTCGATAAAGATTAATATTACGATACATATTTAACGTAGTTTTTTTTTCTTCAGACGATTTAATAATTATTTTGAACTCAAAATCGGTTATTGTGATTAGACCATGATAGCTAGATATATGTTCTCGCGGACTTTTTTGTAGGTCTTAATGGGATCTACAAACCCGTAGTACATCATTTTGTTCTATTGTCAATAGTTTTTGCAGCGCACGCAAAAATAGGTTTTCGATTTGTGTTACAAAATAGCAATTCTAATTTTGAAAAAAATCGGACCAGTAGTTCCAGAGATTAGCGCGTTCAAACAAACAAACAAACTCTGCAGCTTTATAATCTTAATATATATAAATCTCGTGTCACAATGTTTCTCCTCAATGGACTCCTAAACCACTGAACCGATTATAATAAAATTCGCACACCATGTGCAGTTTGATCCAACTTGAGAGATAGGATAGTTTAAATCTCAAATTATAGTCGCAATTTGAATTTATTGCAAATTATTACTTTTGGGCGGTACGAAGTTCGCCGAGTCAGCTAGTATTAGTATAGATTTTAATTGTATCACACTTTATAATGTGTTCATGGAGGTGTTTGGCGAAAAATGTATGGCAATAGACTTTATGGTGTCGCCTACCATCTATAATAATTGTCTTAGCACATTGATTGATTGAAAATGATAATATAGTTGTGGATATTAATACCACAGTGTAATAAAAAATAATAATTTATTATTTCGTTATTTACAAAATAGATTTGTTTTGATGTTATATAAACAACTTCGATCAGTCTTTGGCTGAATGTTGCTACACCCATAGCCATTAAAAATGATTCGTATGTTTTCCAAACCGGTAAAATTAAAAGTCATTTTTAAAATGAATATATTATACAAAGGTGTCCGTTACAATCAACCAAGCCAAGATTTACCGTATATGTCAATATTTTTTGTACACATGGGCCAATTTGAGCAATCTCCTATTACGCAAAGACGTACAACACCAAGATTTCATAATAAAGAGAAGTTTAATTGACCGTAGTAAGAGGAGAAGGAGTGTGATTTTATTCAATAAAAGATACAATGAAAAATTACACAAAATTATTCAAGAAAATAATACGCCGCTGCAGTTTCTTCAAGGGTGCATAAAATTACGGAAACAGTTTAAATAAGTAAGTGTCAACAATAAGTAGTTTAGTATATAACATTGGACAAAGTTAAATTTAAAAATGCATTATGTCCAAGCGGCCATTTCTTTGTTACATTTTCTGTTGATATAGAAATAAATAAGTTTTTAACTTTAACAGGATGTTTCGACGGTTTGCAATTATATTTTAGCAATTTGTTGTTTTGACACCTGGATATTATGACAACTGGGCATGCCATATAATAGGATGTTTTGATAACTAGACATAATGACGATTTGACTTTTATATCGCGTACTATGCTTATGGTCATTGATTTAACTACCCCCATATATATGCATATATCTACAGCATATATCAAATATGCTGTGTAAGTGGATGAATTCTGCCAGCGGTTGAAAAATATTTTCATTTTTCCTGTTTTTATCATATTTAGTAGATAATGGTTTTTAATTTACACATTGAATATATAGATAAGTTTGTAAGACAAAAATGAAGCCTCGACGAACAGTACAACTCGAATAATAAGAGGAAAATCGTCCGGAAAACTTTTTGACTTTCCGGCCGTGAAAAACAAATTAGATGGCTCCACAGCTGAGGGGCTACTCTCTTTATTGTTTTGGGTTACTATGGAAACATTACTTTGTTAATTGAAATAGAATACAGTTATTTTACTTAGCAAGATTATAAATTTTATTTAATGATAGATTTTCTTCCCAACAGATCTTAAACATGGTCCTGTCGCCGGTAAAATGTTTAGTTTTCAGATTCGACGATGATCAAGGATATATAGACCAATGATAACGGGGACAAACCTTTTTCAACAGAAAAACAGTAGTGCATGCGGTACTACGGGTCCTAATACAAATGTTCACCATTAGTTAGACATTTTTTCACGGTAGGTTTATAATAATATTATGTATAATTCAAGCCTGAGAACAAAAACTATTGGCTACACCTAAGAGAAGCGAGGGCGGGCGGGTTAAAAATAAACAAAATTAGAGCTAAATTGAATTGTGTAGAGGTACCTAGATCCCTACATAAAATTGGTTTAGAAACCTGATAGGGCTTTAATCAGGTAAATGGATGATTTATCATGTTTACTAGAAAGTTATAGAAGTATAAATTTAGGGCTGATATGTATGTACTGTATTCATAGATTTAGAGGTTAATCTGGGTTATTTCTCTTTCATCGTACGTTTATAAGTTTTTTATTCTCATATTAGGCTAGCCTAGGCTCAACGTGGATGAATTGTTCTAATTCATCCACGTTGTGCCCTTATTTTTTTGCGGTTTAAGTCGTACCAAATCTTAATCAGACTAAGTACTTGTACTATTATGTATTCTGTACTATAATAAGGTCTTTAATAAGATTATATTAGTATAATAGGATTATAAAAAGATCCCCTAAGAGTGTTCAGGATTTATATTTTTAGTTTTCTAAAATCTACTTGTAGAAGAATAAACATTCGCGTATGGCAAAAACTTGATGTGTAGGTTATCTATTGGTTACAAATTAAAAATGATCTGAATAGGTTACTTTACTCCACTTCTGGCCGTGTCTATGTTGCTTTATGCGAGAAAGAAGTACATTTAAAAACTTCTAAAAGGCAAATCTGAGAAAGTTCTTTCGGTGCTCTATCGACCACGTACGAGTAGGTACCTAATGTAAAAACCTACCTATATGTCTATCTTACTACAAATAACTATTTCGACATAAAAGAAAGTCATACAGGTTTTAATTTCCAATTAAAATAAATAGTTTCATTGACCTGAATCGTAAGCCTATATCGTGAAAACTCGTTATCACTTGTTACGGTTAACTTCGCTATAATCTTACCTTAGACCAAGTAATATTTTCTCTAGTTATTCGTCGGGCTAGTGCTAAAGAAAGTTCCGATAACGCCGTTTCCGAACGCAGCATTGCAGATGGCGCTCGCGTCGCCTGGCGCGCAACATGTCGGAAGGCTTCCGGTCGCTTCCTTTCGAGTGCTGCACAAAGCGCGCGCAATGCTGCCAACACTCCAGTGTCAACGTTACTGGTTGCCTCTTCCCCGCATTCAGTTTCCACCATCTGTTGTAGTCTCTTCATAACAATTGCCTGTGGATATAAAATAATAATGTGAAATTGTCCTCATTACAAAAATAAGTAAGTAATTCAATCTTCTACTTGATAGATTCCTAAAGTAAACAGCCGTATTATACTGAGGGGTGATAGTCGTACTTCGCGGGATTTTATTTTATTCAAATGTGAGTTACGCAGATCCAAATAAGTACGTAAAAGGTATAGAAAACACAAAGTTTAGCAATACGTCCCGATTTTGGAGCCGGATATATTACATAAGTAAGTACACCATCCGTTTCCAAGTTTAAAATACAAAAAAGTCGCAAAAGTTTTCTTCTCCGAGAACTCTCAGAAGCACGCTGTAATCGAGGAGCGGTCGGTAGTTGACTTTCAACGAACTGTTTACTGACAAAAGTATTTTATTATCGGCCAGCAGTGCTATTCTGTAAGAACAAATTCACTTTTCACCTCGGAATCTGCAGTGTGATTTAAATTTAGAACACGAATGCTAATCCTAATTTCCTAACTAATATTATCCGAAAGTGAATTTGTTTGTTTATTGTTACTCAATCACGAAAACATGGCTGCACGGATTCAGACAAATTTTGGCACAGGTTTAGTTTATTACCTGGGTATGCAGTGCCATTCTGTAAGATCCCACGTGGACTCCGCGGTGAAAAGCAAGTTTGTTCTTACAGAAAAGCACTGTTGGATGGAAAAAAAATCGTCTAGTACCCAACGCAGTAAAAAAAATTGCCCCTACCGCCGCACCATCCACCGCCGTGACGACCCCGCAACCGGCCTCTAGCAGCGCTCCCACATCCCAACGGGTAAACAAATGCCCGCCGATCGTGGCTGAGCAGCTACCGGACTGGCCGACGCACATGCGCGCCCTCCATAACAAACTCGGCCGCCCACCCAGCGCGCGCTCGTTTGGCGCAGGGGTGCGCTTTCTACCGGCTAACCTAACCTATCCAACCTCAAGGTGAGCGGGCTAAGTTGGTAATCGCACTCCCGCCCTGAGGACCGAAGCCTAAAGGTGGCCATTCCGTGCAGCCCACAGACACTCAGCTGCACGACATCGCCGAGGCCCTCGCAGGAAGGGCTTCAAAACATCACACATCAAGCAGATCCGGGCGCGAGCACGCCGCCCCGGAAGCCTGTACTACGCCGGACTCGACCGCACCCCAGACTCCATCCCGGCCATCTACTCGGTAAGTGAGCTCCTGAGCATGACCGGGATCCAGATAGAGGCCTGGAGAGGGAGGAAGACCCCCACGCAGTGCCACCGCTGCCACTCCAGCCTAGGCTGCCACCGCCCGCTTGCCTGCGTGCGCTTTGGCCTTTTGGCTTTTGACCCGCACACCGCCGCCGACTGCTCCCGCCCGCTCGCGCAGCTAGCAACTTGCGCGAACTGTAAGGGTGCGCACCCGGCCAACCACAGCGCGTGCCACGCTTTAACGTGAGGCACGTAACCGCCGCGCTTCAACAGTGGCCCGTACAGGCCGCCCACCCACCGAACCACCCCCGCAGCAAAACGAGATGAGCGACACGCGCCGGCCAACCTAATAGCCCCCGCGAACGCTCCTCCCTCGCACACCACCCAAAAACGCCGTCCCAAGAAAAGAAGTCGCAGATTGAGCAAATCGACCGACTTGACCCCCGCCACACCAACATCCAGTGCAGAAAACGAAGTTATCCAAGAACCGCCGTCAACTCAAGAAGAAGAAGTACTAAAGAAACTACTCCCCCCCCCCCCCCTACTTTTTCGCGCTAAGTCCGTCGCCGCTCGCTAGTCGCTCACTGGGCCTCCCTCATGGGTTTCACCCGGTGGGCTTGACCGCGCAGAGGGCGATGCGTGAAGACATGGAGGGAGGTAAGATCCCATAGACCGTCCCGTACGTATACGGGTCGCGAACCCGATACAACTGAGGTGGGCACCCGCCCTGAGCAGTTTCCCCGCACGCCGCGGCGACACGCGAGAAGAAGAAGATGCGGCGATTATACAGCATCATCCTCTTCTCAGGGGATGATCGCTTCAGATGAAGCTTTTAGTCAGTAAGAGTCTGATATAACTTTGCAGTCGGCTGTAGGGTATCCATGAGGATTTTACACCCGCACCCCCACCTGGGAGGAAACAAAAAATAATAATATCGAATTGATTTTGAGTTTGAGACGCAGTTCGACTTTGATTAAAGTATTTTAGTTGAAATACATAGATTGATATTAATTAGTTTTTCTAATTTCCGATACAGAAAAAAAGACTCCTGCTCATATATAATATGGTAACTACAGGTTTCGTCGATATCATTAAAACCGTTAACCGTTAGCCTTCCGAAATTCCACTTATGTTTATTTTACTTCTGAATGTGAAATGTGAAAATTCTTCTAATGAAACAGTCGTAATGTTGAACCCGGGGTTTTGTCCTTTACAACTTCGCGTAAATGTTTAAAACATGATTGAAATGAAGATTCCGCTAAAATCGAGCAATTATTTTTAAGTGCCTTACACATTATTCCTGGTAATTCTGAAATGAAGGCTGCGCTAATCCATTTGTTGGAATAAATTAAGAGTCGCTTCGTACAGAGTTACTAAACTGTAAGTAAGATTCCTTCAGAAAATTGGATGAACGTTAAGTTGATTGTAATAAATATTTTATTGTTTATTAGATAAGGTTATTTAGATTTTCTAAAGGCGAATTCACGAAACCAAATCAAAAGAAATTATTTTTATTAGATAAAATTCAACTCGCCATTTCTAGTATTTTTCTCTTTATGTAATTGGGGACCCGCCCGTCGCCTCCGCTTAGCTTCGAGGTAGTCTAGATTTTCCTTCTGTCAAAAACTATATTAACTAACAGATGTGACAACCGCATTGAAAAGCCTTTAAGTGGTGTGGGGAACTTTTTTTACATTATAAAACTTTTTTTTTAAAAGTGTCTTCTCTTTAACTGTTACATTGTGCAATTATGACAACCTTAATCTTTAACAATTTTAGGGTATCATGAATTTATTCAAATAAAACTACTTTTAGGATCTACGTACATTAGACGGATAATAATTTTTGCGCCGTTTATAAGACATTTTGTTAACAATATAAATCAATATTTTTGTTAGGGGGTGTAATGTAATCTTTACTGTTTATAGCTGTGCTCACTATTTTTATTTTCACAATTACTAAGTTTCTCAGGTAACTCAAAACTTACGGTGTATAACAAGGTAGGCATATTAATCCTCTCCATCTGATGTCAGGTGATGGTAGAGTCCTGGCGCGATGATAGCTGATGCAGGAGTTTAAACTGCCACACCAGCTATCATACCACCACGTCACCATTTATATAAAACCAAATGCTTTTCACACCTAGTTCCTCATTCTTCTAGAGTTGTAGGGAAGGACTGAATTTTTATTAAATGTAATCCAGATCTTTTTAAAGTAAAAGAACAGATTCATATGCTTATTTTTTACATGATTGTGTTTTTTTTGTGTCACTAAACATTAAACTGCCAGAATAACAGCGCTGGTGCAAAACAATGTCGCATCAGCTAATGCTAAGGCAGGACCCTGGTTAGCCATGCGATTTTTGGATATGTATCTATAAATGTGTAAATGAGGGTAATTTATTAACCCTTGTCTATTCTTCTCTATATGCTCAAACTTCGCCCTCGGAAACATCTGTACAAACATATATGTAAAACAGCACTCATGAAAAAAGTGTTGTTGAAATGGCTCCTAAATTATAAAATAAGTTATTTTATAACCATTAAATGCTAGATGTTTAAATCTAAAGAAAATTTACTAGAGAAAATTCCACGCGGACCTGGCAGCAGACGGGACTTGCACCCGCAACCTACTACTACTACTATCGGGCGGATGCACTGATTATTATGCTACCGCGGCCCTAATGATTTTTTTCTAGTAAAATTTTCTCTAGCAGATAAATGTTTAAAAATATATGGCTGCCGTGCTGGGTTGCCAAACGTATGAAAACTTTTCTAGTAGAATTTCCTTTAGATTAAAACTTGAAACAAATAAAAAGATAACTACAATTGCTATTTCTTCTTTCAAATGTTTAATACATGTAAAGGTATTCGTTTGACATTGTGGGTTACCTGCAATGTGAGGAGAGAACAAACTCGTATAATGTAAGCATGTCATGAAGGTACGTTTATATAAATTTTAAAAACTTATGTTAGCGATGACAACGAATAAAATGATGATTTGATTTGAATACGTGCGCTAGCAAAGAATTCCACTTTCGAATAGGTATTTACTTACGATGAAGAACATGAAGAACTTAGACACCAAACTCTTATTTTTTTGTGGAAATGCAGACACTTATTAGTTACAGGTCGCGGCACGTAACTCTAGCGCTGAACAAAACGCGGAGGGGATAGCTGCACAGAATATAAATGTAACAGTAAGGAAGCTGCATGCAAACGCTCGAAATGACACACGCCCACAGACGCACGGCGCCACACGGCCCCTCGGGGGTTCTCGGGGGACAGTTGCTGTCCGCGGAGTTTTTAAATATGCCACGAAGGTATTGCGCAGTATACGGCTGCTTAAATTCGACTTCTTCAATACCGGCGTTTACATTTTTTAAACCTCCTAATGATGTTATAAGGTAAGAATGATTTAATCTTACTTAATAAAATGCTTTTTCTTTTAGATAAATCTTTGGTTGTTTAAGTGATATTTCAAGATATCGTTTTCTTGTTTTTATTAGGTTACGAAACTTGTCAAATACCTTTAACTAGCTTCTGATTTGGAAAAAAAGTAACCGCCATTCATGGACGTATAAAAAAAGGCGGACAGAGTTTCGCCTAAGACAAGACTGAGGCACCGTAAGGCGATTATCACACGGCACCGCGCACCGCCGCGGAGGGCGGTGGCGGTAACGCGGATTTCGCAGCGGTGCACCGCGCGGTAAGGCGGTTTACGCGCCTGTACGCGCGGATGGATTTAACGCGGTTTTGACCAGTTTGATTGCAGACGCTGGCAAGAATGGACGCTGAAGTGGTGGCAGCAATCTGGC